TTGAATCTTCGACCTCCTGAACATAGTGATAACGCACTATCCTCACTCTTAGCCTTCGTTCTCCTTTCGCTTCTTGCACACAGTACTAACTTAAGCATCGGAGCGTTCCCGTCGGGAAACCCCTCGGGAGTTCTTTTTTCCTCTCATCTCAGGTACCTCTCAGGAGCCACGTGAGCGCCAACTAGAAATGACCGGACCATGCTACATCAGTAACCTTATCCCCACTGGACTTCCTGTAAACACAGGGCTCATCCAGATTCTGCTCAAAGTCAAACTTTTTGACAGTAGAGTCAAACCGAATGTTTCAACTCCTAGAAGCTTGCTTAAATCCATATATGGATCTATTTAATTTACATACCATGTATTCCTAACCCGCAACTATGAAACCTTACAGTTGCTGCATGTAGATATCTTCAATAAGATCTCCATTCAAGAACGCAATTTTGACATCCATTTGCCAAATCTCATAGTCATGGTATGCTGCTACAGTTAGCAGGATTCTAATGGATTTAAGCATGGCCACGGGCGAAAAGCTTAAATTATTTTTTATGGATAACATCAGAAATGTATTACTTTGTGTAAAAAGATTCTTTTTGATAAGTAAAAAGAATATTTACATAATGTATTTAGTGATATCTCCCACCTACTATAAGTAGCCACCAACACAGCAACACATTGTGTTCCCCTAGTTTACATTATATACTTTTTTATGGTTTCCCAATACATTTTATCTCTGTTCAAAAGTGTTGACCAAACTTTTTGTGAATCTTGCACCCATTTCCCTCGCTAGGTTTCTTGTATGTTGTCTATAACACCATAACCGGACCTATTATACTTTAGCCATCCAATGACAGTTTTTGAATCACCTTCCACAATCAGATTTGTGAAGTTAAGAGATCTCCCTAATCTGAGTCCATGTAACAAGGCCATTAGTTCTGTTTCACTGAGTTTCCTTGGCCAATGGAGCCTGAATAGATGGACAACGCTACTCCCTCCTGATTTCTAGAGACTCTCTCCACTCCTGATGGTCCTGTGCTACCTGTGCTGCAACCAACAAAGTTGAGTTCATGGTAGTGGTGACCACAACATGGTACTGTCATGATTGATGAAGATGAATATACAATCTGTTTCCATCCTCTAATTATGTCATCCGCCAAGAAATGCTTGAACAAATGGTGTTACATTTACCTAGTTTCCACTACTATCATTATGTTTTCCAACAAAGCTTTCTTTGCACGACTGAGCTCCTTGAAACTGACTTTTTTCTTTCTTGATTTCTTCCCAAACCATAAGTAGAATGTTCAAATTATTTAGCTTTCAAAACATAACTGCCGACATTGATAACCTTACGATGAAGTGCATCATCAAGCTTTACCTCTCTTGCATTAATCATTTAAAAAAAAAAAAGTACAAATAGACTATAAGGAAAATGTTCATGAATAACTTTATCAAGTACCATTTTGTTTACTGTAAGGAAAAGAATATGTATAGTACACACCAATAAACTATTGAAATACTTTTACAAAGTAGAAATAGAATGCTAACAACAAAGCAACTACAATAAGTGATAGGCACACCTGACTTCCTTTGCACATGTAACTTGAAAGAACCAAAACCTCCTCAAAGGCGATGGCTCGGTCAATTTTGCCACCATGTATGCCTTCAAACCTCTGAACGACAAAAAGGTTCAACTCAACTAAAAAAATAAAGAGGAAAAAAAAAGAAAACAGCGCAGTTGTTCAATAATAATAGCAATACCTTGAGTTGAATCACAAGGATGTTAGGCGCTTTAAGAATAGACATTTGCTTTCTGGCTGTTACCAATTTTTTACACCTGAAAGTGGGGTAAGTATCTCCATTAGGAACAATTGAAAAAAAAAACAACAAAAGTAACATAAGACAAAATTGAAAACCTTAAATCACATACTTGTCACACTTGTACTTATTGCTACCATCCAATATCTCCGGCTGGAAGAACCGTTGCATAGCTTCCTTGAGCGAATTGCTCTGGGACAAGTCGAGACTAATATCCATGATATCGTCAATCTTATTCGATTCATTTCCACAACTAAGGCACTTCACCTGGCTCTGCAAAGCACCGCCAAATATCTCTTTAACAATCGTCTCTCCACTTCCCCCGGAACCACCATTGCAAGATTCAGTCCCCTTGCGGAACTGCTGCTGCTTCTGTTGAAGCTTCTTGAGACGGAGACAGGTGTTATGGCAAGCGTCGATGACATATCGGAGGAACTCATGGGCGTCCTCTTGCCTGCCGAGCCTGAAATGCTCAGCGAAAATACTGAGACAGCTCTGGATCTTGCTTGGAGCATCGAGGGGGACGTCGATGCTGAGTGACCGGACAATCCTCTTCTCGAGTATACAAAAGGGGCAGTCGCGCTTCCTGTCCGCCTCCGACGAATCGCCTGCATAATTTCACAGAATCAACCGATGCAATCATAATTATCGAATAAAAAAGAGAAATGAAACCAAAAAAAAAAAAAACGAAGAACAAGAAGAAGAAATAGGAATAGAGAGAGGCTTACAGAGAGAGGAGTGCTGGTTCTTGAGGCAGAAATTGGCGAGGGGAGGAGTGTAGGTTAAGCACTGAAGGACGCTATTGAGATAGCAGGTGTTGCCGAGATTCTTTAACCCTAAAGGAGGAGCGTTCTTGCGTCTGTGAAGGAGAAGGCTCGGCTGCCAACTCATTTGCAAGGCCATCAACGACCTTTTTCCTTTGCTTCTGCAGCTGCATCGGATTCTGCTTCCCTCCACCTCCTCCACCACCACCACCACGATCGCATCCTCTCTCTCTCTCTCTCCCTCCTCCTCTCTCTCTTCGGGTCAGACCAGGAGGAGTTGTCGATGTTGACACTGGCGGTGGGTTATAGGTGGGGCGGAGGGAGAGGGGGAAAGGGGAGGAAACAGAACAGAAACTCCGGCTGTGACTTTCGTTTCGTTACGACTCGTTTCCTTTATTTCCCCGCGCGCTTTGTCCCGAAGTGTTCCAGAGGCAGAGACGAGAGACCCAGAGAGGGAAAATGGGAAAATAGGAAGTAGTAGGAATGAAGAGAATTAGCGAAGAAGTATCCCCCCAAGCCCCAACCCAAGCCCTCCCAACTCCAGCCCTTTTTTGATTTGTTGACAGCACTCTGCCTTGCCTGCCAGTAGATTTTATTGGGGCGGACCACCCAGAACTCTTCATTTAAGCCTCTCAAAAATGTCAAATGGGCTCTTTTAAGACCACCAAAAACAAGCCCATTTCTCCCCCATACAGGCATACACACATATAACATGGATGACCAAAAGTCGTGACTGAAACTTTTAGAACCAAAACCAAATTGTATTAAGTGGTCAATCGTTTTAATTGATCGGATTTTTTGTTCTAATATTTCATTACCAACAAAAAAAAAAAAACATTTATAGATAAAACTTTAGGCTGAGTTGGGAAAGACTACAAATGCAAATGTGTAGAGTGCAAAGCCTTATATTTTGTATTATTTTATATATATTTACGCTGTACATATTTGCATTTGTACTCTTTCCCAACTGAGCCTTAATTAAGATGGTTGAAATTGTATTAATCAACTATACTATATTATTATTTTATCTTCTATCTATATTATATATAAAAGTGGGAATGCAGAGTGGAAGTTTTTTTTATTAAAATTATATCTTATTTCATTGTTTGAGAAAAGGGTATAAAAGTCATTTTATTGTAGTTATAAAAGTCATTTTGAACCTTTAATTATAAAGGTTCAAAATGTAATTTCAATTATTACTTTCCATCTCATTTAATACCCTCTCATTAAGTCTTGTAAATTAAAGCATTAACTCTCATTTTCTCTTATTAAACCATATATTAAGTTATTTTTCACTAATAAATGATACTAATTAGATCTATGCCAATATTTTTATCAATATAAATACATATATTTTAAAACTAACTCAATAACCAACCCATTCTTTATCAAAATGGTGGCTAAGAAATTCAACTATCCGAATCAAATTGATCAACCTATATAGTCATAGTTAGGTAATAAAATTTTTAAAATAGAAATAATTATAAAAAATACAAAATATAAAAAAATTAGACACGATTATGATATTTTTATTAATGAAAATAACAAATAAGTATAATAAACAAGAATATTTTTTATTGATAATGAAAATTAAATACATATTTTATAATTAAGCAAAAATGAAATTATTTTACTATTTGACAAAGATTAGTTAAACTTTTAGGTCAAATTTGTTAGTATTTAATGTCATAAATAAATAAATTAATCGATCAATAAAAATTAATAAAATATTAATACAAAATAAATAAATTTTGAAAAAGAACATCCAGGCACATGTATAATATCATATAATTAGCATATTAAACAATAAGTAAGTGTGAAATATCATAATTATATTTACACATAGAAATACATCTATAATTCTATATTTACACTACTATTAAAAATATAAATAAGAATATTATGAAACATTCTTCTAACTAAAATACTTAATTTTGAATTTAGTCCCTTTTTAATTGTGATATTTAAATTGTAAATTGAACTACTACTCAGGGGTGTCATTTGGATTGGATTTGGTCCAATTCGATCCAATAAATATTTTGGACCATTTTGTACCTGTTCAATTTAATGTTTGGACTATCCAATCTATTCAAATTCGTTCTAATTTAGATTGGTTTCAACCCAAACCCGGTCCATTAACACCTATATTCTTATCTTATATCAATGGAGTAGATATTGACTTAATCCAACTGAATCCAATATAAATGTATTACGGACAAACCAGGTCCAATTCAATCTAATAAAGATTTTGAACCAGATTGGTTCAACCCAATATGTCTTGTTGGTCTGTCTAATTCGTCAAAATTGATTTTGGTCCAAAGCCGGTCCACTGACACCCTTACTACTACTTCTTGACTGTTTGGGTGACACCTTAGTTGGCCGAAGCTACCACGTGATCTACCTCCGTGACTAGTAAGTTTGGACCACGTCGGCACACATCACCACAACTATGTCATGGAGAGGCTTCATGAGGAAGTGGAGTCTCGCACGGACAAGGAGATGCAACCCATTAGAGCAAGACCTCCTGAGAACCTCGATGGGCAACCTTATCCCGACAACCCCGCGAACCTCATCCAACAACAACACGGGTGTTTAGTCTATATAAAGGCATCTAGCTCTTAAGGTAAGCTGACTAGGATCTAGCACACATTACTCTCCTCGGCTTGGACCAGTTGTCTACCTACTTAGCCCAACCGATTTCTCTCTCTCTTTCTCTCTCTCTCTATTACTAACTTGAGCGTCAAAGTGCCTACCTAGGGATAAATTCCTCATGCCTTTGATTCTCTCTATGCTTGTAGACTATGGTGCACGGCCTTATCCTTCCACCTCGACCTCATCCAATTGGCAGGACTATCTGCTACGTGTTTAGCTCGGCACACCTCGGATCAAATAACATCATTCAATTATATCTATTTAAATCTTACATTTCTTTAATAAATGAACAAAAATAAGATACACCAAAAAGATAAAACATTACAAAAAAAAAAGAATCTAACTAAGTAGGTAGAGCTATCAATGATACTTGAAGTTTCACAACTCGATCCAATGATATTTGGATGGGGTTTTTTATGTAATCAAATTTGGATTTTGTCATTTGCATCCTATTAATAATTAAAATAAAAAAATAAAAATACATATTAATACAATTTTTTATACATTATTACTATCATTATCATCATCTAGAATTGGCACATGCATGCTTACTAGTACTATATATTAAAGTGTGAATGCAATGTAAAACTTTTTTTAAACTAAAATTACTCTCTACTTCTTTGTTTGATAAAAGGGATAAAGGTCGTTACAGCTTTAATGGCTACTAAAATGCCCATAATTGTGTATTTAGTTCATCTCTAATGGTAAAGTTGAAAATGTAACTCCAATTATTACTACCACCTCATTTGATCCCCTCTTATTAAGTCTTAAATTAAATTATTAACTCTCATTTTCTCTTATTAAATTAGATCCGTGGCAATATTTTTAACAATATAAATTCATATATTTTAAAACTGACTAAAAAACAAAACCATATTTAATCTAAGTGGTGGCTAAGCAATTCAACCACCCGAATAAAATTGATCAACCTATGAAGTCATAGTTAGGTAATAAAATTTTAATTTTTAAATAGAATTAAATATAGAAACTTACAAAAATGTAGAAAAAATTAGACACATTTATGATATTTTTATTAATCAAATAAAAAAAATAAGTGTAATAAACAAGAATAATTTTTATTGGTAATGAAAATGAAATACACAATTTAGAATTAACCAAAAATGAAATTATTTTACTGTTTGGCAAAGATCAATAGTTCAAATTTTTGGTCAAACATGACTTTTAATGTCATAAATAAATAATAAAAGTTAATAAAATATAAAAATACAAAAATAAAAAAGTACATAGATTTTGTAAGAAAAACATTTAGGCACATGTATAATATCATATATTTATCATATCAAACAAAATGTAAGTATGACATATTAGAATTATTTTTACACACAAAAATAAAAAAAAGAAACGTTATAGAAAAAATTGAACACATCTATAATCTATATTTACACTACTATTAAAAATATGAATAAGATTGTAGAACTTTATTTTGACTAAAATATTCATTTTTGAATTTAGTCCCTATTTAATTATGAGGTTTAAATTGTAAATTGAACTACTACTTTCCACCCCATTCAATTCCCTCTATTTAAATTTTACTTTTTTTTTGATAAATGAACAAAACAAAAAGATACACCAAAAAAATTAAATATAATAAAAGAAGAATCTAGCCAAGCAAGTAGGCCTATCAATAATACTTGAAACTTCACAACTTGATCTGATTATCACATATTTGGATGACGTGTTTATGTAATCATATTTGGATTTTCAATCCCTATCCGATTAATAATAAAAAACAAAAGAAATATAAAAACATAAATTTTATACAAAATTTTGGATACATTATTACTATCATTATCATAATCTAGAATTACCATGCACACTTACTAGTTAAATTAAAAGTATAAATGAGGGGTGTGGAACTTTTCTTGACTAAAATACCCATATTTGTGAATTTAGTCCATCACTAATTGTGAGGGTTGAAAACATAATTTCAACTACTACTTTTCACTTCATTTAATCCCCTCTCATTAAGTTTTATATTAAGGTAGTAACTCTCGTTATCCCTTATTAAATCCTATATAAAAGTATTTTCACTAATAAATGTTATTAATTACATCTATTTTTAATACTTTTATCAGTATAAACCCATGTATTTTAAAACTGACTCATGAACAAACCATTCTTTCATCTAAGGGGTGACTAAGTAATTCAACCATTTGAATCAAATTGGTTAACCCATGAAGTCATAGTTTGATAATAAAAATTTTAAAATAGAAATAAATATAGAAAATTACAAAAAAAATGTATAAAAATTGGTTATATTTATGATATTTTTATCATCAAATTAAAAATATAAGGTAATAAACAAAAATTATTTTTATAGATGATAAAAAAGAAATACATAATCTAAAACAAACCAAAAATGAAATTATTTTCATGTTTGGTAGAGATTAATAGTTCTACTTTTGGGGCAAATGTGTTGACCTTTAGTGTCATAATTAAATAATAAAAGATAAAAAGACAAAAAATACATAAAATTTGACAAAAAAGTGGTCACATGCCTAATATTGTAGATTTATCATTTATCATATTAAACAAAAAAATAAGTGCAACATATAATAATTATTTTTATGCACATAGAAATATAAAAAATTATAGAAAAAATTAAACACATCTATAACTTAGATTTTGCATTCAACATCCGATTAAATAATTGAATCGAAATCAAATTTAACTTCATACGGTCCTGGATTAAATTCTGAATCTAATTATATTGTAATATTTATTGGTTATGATATATAAAATTTATATAATTATATTCAAAATTATAAAAAATATATTTTTATAAATTATATTATATATGGATTTATATATATAATAAATTCAATATGTTATATTTATATTAATTTATTATATATAAAGTT